TTTTCTGCTTATGGTTTGTCAGTAGTCATGTGTAATCATTATTTGTGTGAATGAGCTGAGGTTCCTTTCCATCACTATTTATACTCATCCTATGCTTAACAAAAGCAGAATAATGAAAAATCAAATTAAAAAACACTGAAGAATTTATAGCAAAGCATTGAACTGTAAAGACAAATATTGTCCTGACAACCACCTTTGCTCTAAGCTGAATCAGATCAGCTGTTGCTGTGCTTTGACTGACTAAGATTTAAGCAAATCAATGTTATTCTAAGTCTCTTGTTGCTGGAAAACACATTTTTAACTTGAATATAAAAAGTAATTAACTCCACCAATGCATTCAGAAAGGAGGAGAAGAGCTACAGGGGCCTAAGTGATCCTGCAGTAAAAGTATGGAATGGCCAACCCTGTCTTGTCTCTTTGAACCAAAATGTTGTGTTTGAAAAGTTAAAGCATAGTGTGGTTGGCAAGCTGGCTGCCTCCCAAGCTCTCTGGAGGCAAGCAGGGCCTTCCAGGTGATGCACAAGTTTCTTGAATGCGTGGATGTGCTTACTGCTTGTGAGGCTTTGTGAGGCTGCAAACACACTGTAACACAGTACTCTAGTCTTGAAGGGTAAATGAAATGAGAAATGACAGTGGGTAAAACCTTTTCAATGAAAGAGCTGTCACTGACTTAGGCAAAGAGACTTATCTTACATTTTAAATTTTTTTTTGCATTTTATTATTTGTTGTTATGGGGTTTTTTTTTGTTTGTTTTGGTCTTTTGTTTTGCCCCTTTTTTTATTTTTTATTTTTTTTGGTGGGTGAGTGTGCTTGATTTGAGTGGTAGACAGTATCAGAAAAATCCTCCTGAGATTTTGGAGGACACTAACCTGCTCTAGCTGCTATTGTGTGCCAGGAACAAAATTACTCTACACATTGCATATTCTAGAAATCCCTTATGTGCTGCCCCTAACCAGAGCAAAGAAACATGGGCTTACTTGTATTATCTTTGTTAAGCTTTATCTATCATGACATTGCTCTTACTACGTCTTTTGAACAAGGCAGAAATTCTTGCTGCTGTATGCATGTGGAAATACAGATTTTGAGATCCACTCTTTGAAAAACTTGAAGTACCCAACTTTTTTTTTTTAAATTTTATTTCTTTTTTTTTTTTTTTTCCTTAAACTGCAAAATTACTGGTTTCCCCCCTCTCCTTCAGTGCACCACAGCATGGATTTGTTTAGTCATTTATCTGAGTTTCTAAATTACACGTGGGACATGATGCCATGAGCTTTCTCTTAAACTACTTCTTTGTTTTTTGCCCTTTTCTCCCCTTCTGGGTGTCTCACCTGCTTTGTGTGTCTGCTGAATACTTTGTCACTTGGTTTTGGGCTAATCACATCTGATGAAAGGCTTTGTCTCTCTTGTGCCAGAAGATTTGGCTCAGACTTCCAAAGCAATTGCACAGGTTATTTGGAGGGTTTATTTTCTTTCCAACAGAGATAATCTTTATCACATTAGATTTTACCAGCTTTGTCCTTTTCAACAAGAAGCATAAAATTAAACCAGTACGGACTTTAAAAAAACTGGTTTAGATGTTGTGCTTAAATGTGTTAGAATCTTGTCTTGATTCAAGAGCTATTTGTTTATAAATAATCACAAGATAAATATTCATGGAATAGCTAAATTTTTTTGAGCTGAACGTATGATTTAAAGGTTACTATAAAAAGCTTGGGAGTCATTACATTATACTAATACTGTAAAGCTAAAAATACAATACCAGGGAGCAGACAGGTGGAATAAATGTGCTCTGTGAATTCTACAGACACCTATTGCTCTCAGCAAACATGAAGATGAAGCTGATCTTAACTGTAACCAAGCCATCTATAAGAACTGGAAGTTAAAGTGATACAAATTCCATTTAGGAGGGTGGTGTCCTGAAGGGCATATCAGTGAAGGGTCACTCAGTAGCCACCTGCATCATTCACTGTGTGCCCCAACACTGGCTGTTGGCACTTAGGAGGTTGTGATACAAGCCTAAGTGGAGCTTCTGATCCAACCTAAGGTAGCTGCTTTTATGACTTGATTAAAGTATGATTTTTTAAAAGCTGATGACTACTGATAAGGCAGAAATGCTCAGGAATATGGTGGGTTTATTCCCAGAGCTGTGCTTTCACATTCATAATGAAATTTGAAACCAGGCCAGTTTTATGCTTTTTTTTTTGCTTTTATGGAAGCAGATATTTTCCACACATCTGCTTTTATTCAGTGCTAAGTTCTGTATGGATCAAATCTTAAGTAACTTAGCATCAGATTAATATTTTACTGGCTGTATCTACAGAGCCTGTTGTGCATCACTCAGTTCCTGTGCACCTGAGGGTTTGAAGCCCATGGCCAATTCTGTGGCTGAGCTAGTCCAGCTTTGCAAGGCTTGGGCTCAGAGTCTGCCCCTGGGGCTGCTGGAACCAGGTGCCACTTGTCAGGGCAAAGACAAAAGCTGCTTGCTTGTGCCTGCTGTGTGTCCTGTAGATTCACCTACAGGCAGCCAGGAAAAGCCTTTATCTGTAAATGAACATAACAAACAAATCTGGACTTTGTTTGCTAAACTCCTTTTGTACAGCAGAAAACAGTTTATTACCTTTTTCACCTTAGTACTTGTCACCATTGGTAAATAAATTATTATCTGTTAAATCTTTTGTAAAAGGAGTGATTTTTTTTTTTTTTTCCAGAGAATGTATTTTTCTCATTTTTGGCCTCATAGTATTTAGTGTTTTTTCCTGCCCAGATGCTGTAATTTCTTTTAAAAAAGTTGGGCTGTAAATAGTTTTGTTTCCATGCAATGTTAAGCACAGTTTGAAATTGCATCTAGAGGGATCTAGACTTCTTTCTACTTCTCTCCATCCCACCTGTTAACATGATATTCTGATCCCTATTACATCTTTGCTGGGACCAATTAACTGATGGCTTTTAAGCTGTATTTCAGCTGCCAAAATCTGGAAAAAACTATAATGTCCCAGACCAATAGAAAATAACAGCATTTGAAGTATTTAATCTGTTTTCAAGTTCTAGACTGGTCAGTGACAATAAAATAAAAATTACAGGGTTTTTTTGGGGGTGAATATTAGATGTTTGTGAAAGACTCATCAGTAAAGCATTTGTTTTAATGCAAAACAGATTCATGAGCCTACAGCATAATTGATACGAGCAATTCTATGATTCTATAAATTTGTTCAGTGGCAAAGGATTATGAATACAGTACTTGAGGTGCTGCAGCATTCACATAATACAGTAGTACTACTGTACTACTAAAGTACTACTTCTTTTCTTCCTTTTCTTCAAAAAGAAAATATAGTCTCTATAGCAGCATGTAACTCCATCCTACAAAGCAAGAAGCCAGAATGCAGAAGATAATTTTTTCTCTGAAAAAGTCTTTTTACTACTTTAACTACCTTTCTATGCTTGGTTAAAGAGGTTTGGCTGTCAATGAACTTGCACACACACTCATCCCACTTAAATTTGTTCTGTCCTCTACCCTGTCAACAGTCACATTTCTCCAGGGTGAAGATAAAGTGTGAAAAAAAAAAAGTTTTTTGCCTTCTCTTTCATTTTTTTTTCTTATTTCATGCTTATACAAAAGGTGAATGAATTTTCAGTGTTCTTGCATACAGGTTTCCTGCTTACTAGTTGTTTTCCAATATCACCTGCAGGCCTGCACTGACATCAGATTCAGGTTGGCAAAGAGTGAGAGGAGAGATGATGCTGTCTGGGGAACTCAGGCAAAGAAAAGCCAAGTAGCTTCCCTAACATCAGGCAGAATTATGTCACAAAGCTGATAGTTGAGATGCTTTTTTTTTTTTTTTTTTTTTTTTTTCCTGAGTTTTTCTAGAGTGTCTACAGTGCAGACTGTCCTGTCTTGGTGTACATTTGATTTTTTTATACTCAGGTATTTTTTACTGAACCCTGTCCTCTGCATCGTCCTCCCAGACACAGGCAGTTAGATATTGGAGCATATCCTAAAGTCACAGAAAGTCAAAAACAAGTGAAAAATATGGAGGTGAGAGGACAGAGGCTGTTTTAGTTAAATCATTCAATTGGTCACTGAGGAACTGCTAGTGTCTAGTTCACATTCATGGTGTTACTTGCTATAGGTACACCTGTAGTCATGGGAAATGCATTTAGTATAGTAGTCTACTGTCATCTGATGGCATGAAATAAACTGCACTGGAAATCATCATTTCACAAGTGTTTCTACCTTTATGTTGCTGGACTGTTTTTCCCTCTGTACTAGGCAAAGTCAATTTGACGTACAGAAATGGTCTGACAGTAGATGTTCTGTCATGGTAATAAATTTGCTGTGGTTGACCTGATGTCAAAACTAGGCAAGAGTGAAGCTGAGTTTAAGCAAAACTTGATTCACATATTGCTACCTCAAAAAATTACAGCATATTTGAAAAGTATGGGGTTCCTGTTGGCATAGTCTTTTTTCTCTTTCAGCCAGGTCAGGTTTATGTCTGCAGCAATTTGCTTGAACACGTAGGTGTCTTTTTCATAGCTGGGCTAGCTTCACTTCACTGTTGTTTGGGGGCACAGCAGAAGGCTGGGGCTTTGCTGCAGATGTTCATGTTCTTGCTCACGTAGTGAGCTTCAGCTGTCTGAAACCCACCTGCTGTGCTGGGGAAAAGTGCTGGAAACCCTTCAGGAGAAAGCCCACAGCTGTCTAATGTCCTGCCTAGATCAAATGTGCAAGAGTCAAATTTGTCACTTGGTCAGTTTATCAGTGGGACAGGCTTGATTATAGCTGTCTTTGCTGTTTGTTGGAGATGAACAATAGGGCAAAAAAACTGGAGTGATATATGACTATGGGAAAAGCTGTTGAGAAAATACTGTCAGTCTGGAAGGAGTGCCTATTTGTTCTTAGAAGTCTGCACAGAGTATCTTGTAATGTTTTTATGCTTGAATGTACATCTGAGACAGTTGTGTGATCATCTGCATGACTTTTCTTTTTTTTTCCTTTCTCGCAGTGCATGCCAATTAAAGGCCTTGGATTTGTGCTTGGAGCCTACAAATGTATTTGCAAGGCTGGATTCTATCATCCCAACATCTTCTCAGTGAACAGCTTTCAGAGTAAGTGCCTTTGCTTGAGTTAAAAAAAAAGAAAAAGAAAACAGAGCTAGCATTAATAATGCAGGGCTGCTTTTTATCCTCATCAGGGTTATACAGTAAAATCCCAGCGGTTTGCAACTCTCAGATTATATAATCACTTAAGGACTTCTAGCCCTTTGGTTTGTCATTCATGATACTCTTGAGGATCCTGTAAAACATACCCACTTGAAGAATATTTGATTTGTAAATAAATTAAAAAACATGAAAAGAAGCCTTGCTAAGGGGAAATAGAGATTTCTGGCATCTGTGCTCATGCACAAGTATTCTGGAAATTAATCTACTCATTTTCTGTTTAGCCAGAAGAGATGAGAATGCCCTAGCCTCTGGCTTTGTGCGGGCTTTAATTGTTTTCATTTTACTCCATTTGCAAAGGAGAATTCAAAGGAGCATCCAAACTCTAATATGTGCTGATGAGCTAATAGAGATGGCTCGAGCCTGGGAGTCTGTTTGGCTAGATGTGTGGATAACATGCATCCTGAACATGCCCAGGACACACATTGTATGGTTCTTAGACTGAGTTGCCCACAACAGGAGAAACAGAACTTGGTTGATGGTCATCAGGGAAAACAGGCAAACTGCATGGCCAAAGCTGATGTCTGTCATGATGTGACCAAATCTCTGTTTGGATTTTGTGCTGAAATGGTTGCAGTTATACTGGTAGAGCTCAGGCTACAGTCACAGGTGCAAAGCTGCTGCTTGGAGGTGTAACAGGGCATCCTTCTCTGCCTCCTGCTTTCAGGTTCACCTCATGCCCAGCTTCTTTGCACTATCCTTTATCCAGAGGTTCATGTCATCACCTCTTGCTGTGAGATCAGTTTGTGTGAGATATCCAGGGAATGGCAGTGAGTGACTTTCACTGAGCTTGGTCCAGGACTGCGTGTATTATCTCCTACCTTGTGTGAAAACAGCTGTTTCTGTTCCCCAAGAGAAATATCTCTAGTACTAATCATCACTTAAAGTACATATAGATACAGGGGATGTAATGTCTCCTGTACGTGTTTGTAGAATAAATAGCACAGTTTGTTCAACAGTTTATCTGCTGAGTATTTCCCTTGTCTTTTCATATTGTAAAGTAGTGCAGAAGGCAGCCTTGTAATAGTGCCATTTCTCTGGGCTGGTGAATGTGTTGCTAGAGTGAGGAGCATGTTTGGTTCTTCTTGAAGTGCAGTGAGTTCTGGTGGAGTTAGGATATAATTCCTTGAGAGAGCGTGTAAAGAAAACTTCATACCAAATTACATAGAACACACACAACAAATGTGGCTAGAGATCAAAACAACATTGATTATTAGGGATGAGATTAACTGTATTTCATGTCAGTTGTGCAAAATACATATGCTTGTTATGTATTAGTCACCTTGGTTTCAACTGCAGTCAGCATCAAGAGTATGGCTCCCCTGGAGGGTGATTTTTCTTTAAATGGAAAAAGCCATACCTCCATCTTTTCTTCATTTGCTGTAGAATGAAGAGCCTTCAAAGGGCTATTCAGCTCCTAATAAAGTGAAATTTGTCTCAAGGACGTTTGTAAATGCTGATATTGTAGGCTGTAGGAGGCCAGTTTGATTTGAGCCTTTGTTGCTGCGAGGTAACTCGAGTTTTGAAACAGTAATGAAGAAGTTTTTTAATTCATCCAGATGCAGGTCCATGTGCCAAGTTATATAGATGATTTCAGAAAGTGAACAGTGAGACTGGAAATGACTAAAGTAATGAGAAGAGCCTGAGGTTCAAAGAAAACGTAGCCCTGTCATACAGCTGAATTCTGTAAAAAAAGAGGAAAAAATGACATGGCTAAAATGGCTGTAGTATGTATTTGGTGGTTCAAAATGATGTTAACATAGGAATTCTAGACACGAATTCTACAAGCAGTTTTGACAGAAGCTGTCTGACCTGGAGATCTCCTTGTGGAGCTAAGTTGGTGAAATCTGATGATAAAAGAGATGGAACTGAATAGGAATATTAATCATTTAGGAAGTATTCCTAGAGGAAGAAAATAAAGAGGCAGAAAAGATTTGCGGGTCTAAAGATATCAGAAAGGAGATAGAAAAAAATGACCAGCTTTGTACTTCACTCAGTTGAAAAATTGGATTGTGTTGTGTCTTGAAATGGGAGCATTTCTCAGTGATTGTGCACCAGAACGAAATATGGATAACTATGGTTGCACATTGTGTCAGAAGTGTCCAGCTTTTGAGTGGGGGAAAGGTTCTGCTTTCGGCCCAGATGAATGTTTTGGTTTGAATCTGAAAGATAACTGTATAATACATCTTTGCAGAGATGTTGAACACTCTACACTGTTTACTGGTCGGCTCTGTGGGAACCTGCAATGTGATGTAAACAGTGTCTTGTGTAGGAAATATTCTACAAATCAGCTGTTTCCTGTCTTAAAGCAGCATGGTGTAACTGCTCCCAGGGAGGCTGCGCATGTTGCAGGTTCCTGAAGAGTGTGTAGGACAGGGGCACAGCTGGAATTCAGGCTGTTCTCTCACTGAATATGAAGCCAGGTAGGAGGGCATTTCTCTCCCAAGTCTGCATTCGTTCTTCAGAACTGATGGTGCCAAAATATGTAAAGCCTTTTTATTTTTTCTGCATATGTTAATGAGGACCATGAGTACTGGAAGGGGACAAAGTTATTACCATACTTCCAGGGTGTCTTTTGAGGTTGGAAATTGATTTTAGAAAAAAACACATTTCATATACACAGGTTGTATTAACCTGTAAGTGCTTGAATACATGGTAATGCACTTTCTCCAAATGGCTTATTTTTAGGTAGCACTATTAGTATAGGTAGAATAGACTAACTGATGATTACTTATATTTTAATATTCCTGTAACACCCTTCTCCAAAGCACTTCTGTTCGCTGCCTTATGAGGCAATCAGGTTTGCATTGAAAACTCTTTAGCAGAACAATGGTGCTTTTTTCAGCCTTGAAGTTTGTTCTGCATCATCCATATACTGCAGAAATTCTCAGCTCTTGCTGTTTGGATGTGGAACTGCCCTGCTTGCACCACAGTGGCTCTTTTGTCTGAATATGGGACTTTGCTATCTCTAACACTAGAATAATCACATAAAAATTTCCAAGCGGTGTTTCAAATTCAACAGGAATTATCATTTTTTCACACCTGTCCTTTGGCTTTGTTTCTTCAACAGAACCTGCATGTGCAGATCTTTGCCCATATGAAGGTTGTCACTGACTTCAGTGATCCCTTTCTGGGATGAGGCTTATGGACATGGCTGATGACCAGGTTTTGGTGCCAAGAGGTCCAGTTACATTCTCACCAAGTTACTGCAACATTGCTGATGCAACTGGAGTGTTCCTAATTTACTCTATTACAGAACAGGAGCAGAATCAGTCTTTTCTGCTCAGTGCTCAGCATGCACTGTGCTCTCTGTGTTCATGTGCTGAGTTCTGACTGGAGTGTGGGATGATTTGGTTTGGGATAAAGCAGTCCCTGCCCTGGCTCTCAGCAGTCTTGCTGCCTTTCTTACTTTGCAGGAAGAGCTCAGCTGGCAATGTTGCAGCTGCTGAGGCATCCCTTGCATGGTAAAGTGTCCTTAGGAGAACCAAAGCTGATGAAGAGTTACCCTCAGGAGAACATTTCAAAAACAGATGGGCCAATCAGACAGAAAAATCAGACTGGGATGGAAGAGAGAAAAGCTAGGGAAAAAATATGGTTGAGTGGAAATAGCTGAAACATTAAGCTTTTTGGTTTGTTTTATTATACTTCATGCTAGTTTGTGTCCTTATTCCTACTTTCCACCTACTTTGCTTTGTTCTTTTCTCCTCCCTTTTTATCCTTTTTCTTTTTTGGTTCCTACATTTTATTTCTGTTCTTTTCTATTTTTACACCTTCCTCATTTTCAGTTTTAACTCTGGCAGCACAGTGTTTGCTTCCATCTCATTTGTGACAGTGCTGAGACTGCTGCTGCCTTACACAGAGCAGAAATGACTTCTTACCCATCTACCTTACCAGTGTCTAGAATCTTTTGTCCTCTTTGGAGGAGGAAAAGCTTTTTATTCACTGTGGGGGACATGTAATCCCAAAGAACTGCTGAGATAGGACAAGGCACAATGAAACATCTAGCAATTCTGTTAGAGGCACTCCAGGGTTGGCTTGGAGTGTCTGTGTCTTGAATTGATTTTACATTGACTTTGGTGAGGGGACAGGACCAGATGAAAAGGGCAGAAATGTTCAACTATCCATTGGGCAGCTGTGCCCTGACACATAGTCAGGGCAAGGGTGTAGGTGGACAAGATCCCTGTCAGTGGTGTATATAATGAACAGTTCTTCCCCAAGAATATATGTTAGAGGCTCTGAAAAAAGTCCTTTTTGTCAAGGAGGAAAAAAAAAAAAAGCAAATAAAAAAACAATATGCCAATTGTTAATTGTTCCTCATTGCATTGTGGAAAACTTCATGTAGATCCAATTTTTTTGATCCTTCTTTTTATTAGCTATAAGGAAGAATCACAAATTCACCTGTGAGCAACCCCCACCTTGTTAACCCAGAGCACTGAGTGCCATTTCCAGTTGTTCCTCAGACACCTCCTCCTCCATTTGTTAGTCAAAAGATATTCATAGAAAAATCAGTCCTGGCTGGCAGTGCAGACAGAGCAGGAGATGTGCATCAGTGATCTTTGTGCACAACAGAGAATATCACAGAAGCAATAGATTGAAAAAGACCTCTGAGATCCTTGAGTCCATCCTATACCCAAACACTGCCATAGACTAGAGCATGGCACTGAGTGCCACGTCAGTCTTTCCTTAAACTCCTCTGGGGACAGTGACCCCACCACCTCCCTGTGCAGCCCATCCCAGTCTCTGAACCAGACACCAGACACATCTAAACAAAAGCTTGCTCTTGTGTTATGAAGTCATATCCATGGGATATTTACTTCAATGTGCAACTGTTTATTTTACTGTAATCCCTGTAGTATGTGATGAGCATCCACATGAAGACACTCCAACATGTGATTCAGATAAGAAACTGCTTGATAAAATGGAATATAGTATATTTGAAATTACTTTCAAGGTTGAACATTTCAGAAATAAAGTAAGTGCATCAAGTTTAGGATCATGTTAAATTATCAAACCATATTAATTTAATATTTATGACAAGTAGTCTCATAACTGTGGGTCTTGATTTATATTTTTTTCCGTGTGTAAGTTTTTGTACTGCAAATAATTTATTTAGTTGACAGAATAAAACTATGTTTGTGAGAGGAATTATCACATAACACACCATTGATTTGGCTTCAGCCACATTCTGTTGCTTCTGTGAGCTCCTTAGGCTGTCTTGCCTATAAAAAAATTTTCAAAAAAATATTTTTTTCCTTTTACTTAACAATATTCTTTCTTTTTGCCCCCTTTCTCTTTCACCTTTTAACTGTACTCATAGCCTGTAGGGTAAGCAGCCTTACAGGGGTTTAAGGGAAAGTGTCATGGATCAGAAAAATTAGGAATCCTTCTGTGTGTGCTCTAGGTGGATGAGTTGTCAGTTCAAGTGTCATTGATTTTCCTAGACAAAATATTAACTTTCCAATAGGTTGCCTTCCTGATGTGCTTGTGTGAACAGTGGAAAACTATACTTAGTCTAAGTGCACTGGTTTTGCTTTGGGGTCAGAGTAGTGAAATCATGCAACAGCCTGTTGAACAAAGGATAATTAAGAAGGTTTTCATCTAATTTGAAACTAATTAATTCACTAGATAGCATTTTTATGAAATTGAGGAACAATCTACAATAGGATCAGAGCTTGTACTATGAATATTAGGTAGTTAATGGGTCTGCCCTTCATCTGTCTAAAATATTTTCCTTACTCTCAAATATTTAATGTAATTTTTTCCCCGTTCAATATTCTTCTCCATAGAATTTCCTCAGATTTAGCCCATTTTTAAATACAACAAGAAAGCATTTGATGTTCAATAAGCTCACTTTCCCTCACTGGTCTGCGTTTTCTGAATGTTACAAAGGGTGGCTCAGCGAGAGAAGCAGCGCTGGCCAAGCTGTTTTGTAATGTAATGTATTGAGAGAGAAGGGGAGGGAAAGGAAGCCCAGCAGAGGACTGGTGATGAGCTCCTCATCCAGTACAACTAAAGGTGTCTCCCCTCACTCTTCTGATACTTTCAGGAAAGGATGCAGAAAATCACTTTTCTGGCGGTGAATTGTCAGACGAAGTCTACACCTGCCTGCCCTGCAGAGAAGGATGTTCTTTCTGCACAGATGATACCCCCTGCTATGCACAGGAGGACAAGTACTTACGGCTGGCTATCATCTCCTTCCAAACGCTCTGTATGCTGCTGGATTTCATAAGCATGCTGGTGGTCTACCATTTCCGCAAGGCAAAGGTAAACCCGCGTCTTTCACTTCGCCGTTCCTCCTCACGGCGTGTGGAGCTTATCTTGGGGCTGTAGCCTCCCATTTTGGGAGTCAGCTTCTCAGACAAGGAGCACGGCTCAAGGGGAGGATGGGGTTTCCAAACAGGATGTTTTCCAAAATTGTTTATGTGGTTTCGTGGAAAACAAAACAAAACAAACAAACAAAAACCACAAAAAGCCCCCAAAAAACCAAAAAACAGCCCCAAAGAAAGCTGAGCAATTTGTGTCTTCCAATGAGATATGCTTGCATTTATAGATGTTCAGCGAAAATCAAGGAAACTGTTAAGTAATTTTGGGAAATCAAACCAATTAATTGTGCACGTGTCTACGGGGACATGGGGTTTTTAGAAACTTGGGATCGTGAAAGTCTCTGCATTACCACTACTGGGAATGATTGGTTTCACTATATTTGAGAGACTAGCTGAAAAATAATTTAGGGAAAGAGAAATCTTTCTGAATGATTCTAGTTCCTCAAGAGTTTAAATGTGATTCTATGGTTAAAGATTCTTATTTTTTTGACTAAAGCATGAGTATACTAAGGAGTGTCTGTAAATTGCTGATGCAGCATTTATGTACTAAGTTAATGAACTTTCTGCTTTTACCTGACTGAAAATCTGATGACATCTCTTGGAATATCACTGTTGCCTCAGTAAATGCAGAATATTCTCTGAAACTTCAAATTTTCTAAAAAGAAATTAAGTGAAAATGGCATATATTCACTACCTACAGTTGGGAAACGTAGGTGTGCACACAGTATGGTACATTATTGAAATTAATAGCTTCATTCACTTTCTATAACTAGATCAGTATTTCCATTTTGATTTTTGGAACACTTGATCCCACAGTTTCCCTGATCCTGCAGTGTCTGTGTTACAAATGCGTGGCTTATTTTGAAAGACTTTAATATCCTGCCAGGAAATCACAGAACAAACAGTAACATTCCTTTTTTTTTCTCCCTCTTCTGTTTCTGTCAGTGTCTTTGTATTTAATGATATTACATTAAATGATTCAAATTACTTAATTGTATTCATAAAGTTTTTTGTTATAAAAAGTTTCTTGTAGGCATCTGTTTGGTTGCTTGACATTAACTTAGCAGAAGAACTTCATTCCGGTTTTGTGAGGTTTTAATCTGGTAATGTTTATGTCTGGCAATGTCTGTGACATTTTTAATCATAGACAACATCAAGACAAGCATTTCTTGTGAGAAAAAACTATTTCTAGACTTACAAAGTGATATGCAGCTATTGCAAGCTGGGCCTGACTTTTTTTACATACTGAAATGCTGATTGTTTTATAGGAAATATTTCTGTTTTCTCAGAAATAAGTTGAGGAATAATTTTCACTTTTGCACTTGTACACTTGCATATGTTCTGATATAGATATCTGCTAGAGTGAAATATGTAACTTTATTAGACATAACACAGAAATCTTGTGTTTCTCAAAACCTGCTAGTCATGAAAAAGACATTTTTACATTTGTGATGATTAGCCATTTCTCCAAAGTAGTCTAAGAGTAAAGAAACACATGGAATCTGAATCTTTAATACCAAAGCAATACTGAAGAGGCATATGCACATCTTTCATTGTTTCTGAAGTGCGTTCCAGTCGTTAGGAAAAAGTTTGTACTTATGTTTTTCCAGACTCCCTCTTACCATTAGAAATCATGACATAGGAATGAGTGAGAATCAGACATAAAGAAAAAAAATGAAAAAAAATTCCCTGAAAGAAAAATGATGCCTTTGAGACATTGCAGTTCATTCAGTTGACTAGAGGTGGATTCAGTTTCAGTTTTGGTACCTTACAGGAGAGTTGACTTTTCTCTAAATGTGTGTCTCACAAGGAAAAGGGAAGGAAACATGAGACAAAAGAAATAATATGGTGATTAACAAACCTTTCCATTATGATTGAAGTTTTCAAGGAATAGAAACTGATAGATTTTTCATTGCTTTTCATGTAATTCAGTTGAGTTTTTCTTGGGTATTCCTTTAGTGTTCTTTATCTTATTGGTACAGCATGAAAAGTATCTTGTGTGTTTACCATGAAATGAGAAGTTGCATGAAGGGCGAACATACTGAGAACAATGAGTATTTGCAGAAGAAAACTGCTGGTTACATTGGAAAATGACAGAAATTTGGAGTGAAGGAAGAAAACTAGTAGCTTACTATGTACTCTCTGCCAAGGAGGTAAAATCATGAAAATGAAAGAATACATACTGAAGTATATTCAAAATATCTGCCTTTTTTGAGAATTTCCAACTGTTAGTGAAGCAAACCACAATTAGGTTAGTGTATATGTCTGTGATTAAAGTTGCTGTGTTAAACTGCTCATTTCCATTGTGCTGTGTGGGAGTTAGAGGAGAGCATTTCTTTGGATTCTCTCCCACACGTAACACTACAGTATTCAAATGGTTGCAAAAATAGTTTTTAATGCAACATTATAACAGAAAAAGCAGTATGCTGCTTTTCAAGAAGCGAACTTCAAAGTGTTCAATCAATGCTTGTGGTAATTACTGCCTTCAAAAAAACTAAGGTCCTGAAAAGTTAAGGTCTGCCAACAGAAAGCACTTGGGAAGAAACACCCCAGGCACCTTGGCAGTGATATTCTGAGTATAATTCACAAAAACAATGATAAAAGTTCATAAGTATCCTTTTGGTTATGATGGAAGTGAAAAGACATTTTTTTGTCTTAAAAGAAAATCAACTTTATCAGTAAGAGCAGATGCAAATCTCTTATAAATGTTATTAAATGATTGTAAGTATTATTATAGGTATTTGTATTATTTTTTATATATTATTATTATTATAAGTATTATTTAGGGAAGTGAAAAAATACCTCAGCTATTCAGATCACACTGGTGGCTCTTCTTACAGAGGAAAATTGCCATTGGCCTAGTTTTGTCAGCAGTGTGGAATATATGTGAGATCCAAGGCAGCTGCTAAAAGACCAACCAAGGGTTAACAGAGCATGGCAATGAGAACAGAGACCTTTTGGGCAATTACTGCCAAAGTGGTGCTGACAAAATGTGATGATACAAGTTTAATTTGACATGATCTTTATTACTGACCTAGGCTGTAATAATAAGACTCTACAGAGAACCTGGTAAATACCAGCTTGTGAGTTCCCACTCGGAGTTTGACAAAATAAATGGTAATAAATAGGCAAAGCCTATAGCAAGCCAGATGAGTAGCTTTTAAAAGCCAGGCTTCTCTTTAGAGGGACTTCTATAAGTCTCTCAAATTTTAAGTCTCTTCTTCTAGAACTTCTTTAGGTTCCTCTGAAGAATCCTCTTCAGACTTCTGCCTAGAAAACTGCTGAACTATCTACTGTGTAATAAGCTTACATTAATAGCTGTAGAGGAGCAAGGGAAGATAGGAAATGTGACATCTGTATTTATAAAGACTCCCTATAATAGTGACAAGAACTGAAGATCAGTAGGTCCAACTTACACACTTGAAAATTCAGAGTAATGGTAATAATAGAATTACTGGGTCCCTGGGCAAGTGTGGGAAGTGGGCTTTTGTGAGATTTGATGCCCTCCAAATGTATTTGTAGCTCTGTGAAGTGGGGGTTATGAGCATGAGGGTACTTCTTCCAAGGTCTGCCACCAAAAGCTCTTAAAAGTTATGGTCTCAAGGGACTAGGTGAGCTGCACTATTTGTAGGTAACCAAGGGGTGGCAGAAGAATAGACAGGGCAGGAAATACAGTATAAAATCATGTACAGCAGTGAGATGTTGATGTGCAAACATAGATATCTTCAAGGTTCTTCTTAGGGTATCATTAGAGGGATTAAAGATCAGTGGGTCTCCCAAATGTTCACAGGATCTCTCAGATGTTTTTTAGAAATGGAGTAGTTGCATGACACAACTTTTAGTTGTTTTATGTCACTCATTGGCAAAGAAGAATATCAGAGGTCCCAAACTATAAAGCAATTCAAATAGGAAGGAATCACAGAGGATATATATATATATACACTTATATATTTCTAGGGTGTTAAACACAGTGATTTTGGTGAAAAAATCTGGTGCTGCAAGGCCATAATTTTATTGTTGGAAACTTGGAGGATAGGTCAGGAAGAATCATTCCCAGCTTCTTTAATAATGCAGCACAGGCTGTGAAGTGAGGTAGGACACAAGAGTCTAAATCAGAATATCTTTTGTTCTCTTGACAAAGAGTCATTAAGCTAGATTTCATGTCTGTTCTTGAAAACCTTGTAGTTATTAATGTAGACTTGCACATTTGACAAAACAAAATGCAGCTTGTTCATCCATCAAAACACAGTTGATCCAAACTACTGGTACCACTGACCAATCTTCAAAGTAGTGACTTCAAGCAGTGGTTGGAATTGGCCAAAAGAACAAAATGGAATGGCAAAAAGAAACTGTGACAAAGCTCCAATCAATGCTGTGGAATTCATTTGAGGCTTTGTCAAACAAAGTGACTGAAAGTGACTCAGCAGCCCTGAGATCAGCTCAGCAGTAATGTTATTAAACTGCAAGAGTCATAACTGGAGAAAGTCACAGGCAGAAAAAAGTGGCCCTTTGCCAGCAGAAGGAAGAACTCCAAAACGATAAGAACAAAAATAATTTGGAAGAAGGCACAGAAGGAGTAACAGAAGCTAAACCACTAGTGAAAAGCTTTGTAGGGGAAAGACAGAAGATGAAAAATATAACAGATAAAGAGGATATGCTACTGCTATAATGGGAAAAGACAAAGCGTTTCAGCAGGAGAGTAGATGGGGAAATATGCCAAACAAAGAGGAAAGAGATAAAATAATTCATAGCTGATAGAGAAGGGAAATCAGAAGTGTGGATCACTTCAATGAAGTATTTGCTGTGGACAGCCCTCGTGCCAATCAGTAGTGAAAGCTGGAAGCCATGAACTTGGTATTGACACAAGGTGCAAGAGGCTCAAAAACTCCAGGGAGATGAAAATTTGTGAAATCCCATCAGAAAAGCTGACAGCAGCTGACAGCACCAGTTTAATTCCACTGAGGGAATTGTGTAGTGAAGCCTGGGAAAAAGAGATCTTTCCTCAATAGTGAAAATGTTGGA